CCACATAATGGTAAGTATTTTGGGGCCATAAAACGAAAGGCTACCAGTTTAATATAACAGTAAATTAGCAAACCACGAATACAAATATTGCAAACAAATAAATCTATTTCAAAATAACATCATTAAATGTAGATTTAAACAATTCTTTAATTAGTGCTTAAAAATGTCTGTTTATTTACTTTTTTATCGCCATATTTCTTGAAATGTCTTCTCCTGAAGATAATAAATTATCAAAATATCTGTAGCGTTTGCGAAGAAAGAATTTAATTTTTTTTAAATCTCTATAAATGAACAAATTAGCAGTTTCAAATTGTAACGGACACACCATTAGAACATAATTGTTAATTAATCAATTTCAAACAAAATACAGACCTTTTTTTTTATTTAGATTTATTAAAACGATAATCTTACTGGGTGACCAGAAATTTAAAATAAAATTTAATTAACTTTTAATTTACGGAGAAAGATAAAATTATACAGCTTTTAAAGCATATATCAAATTATTAATCTGCAAAATTTCAGTTTTTAAGCAAATGTAGTTAAGCTAAGTAACACATTTCATAATTGAGCCAAGGGTTTTTCTGTTAAATATTCGCGTTCATTTTGCGTCAACTATGACGTCCGCGCGTCAGGTATAAATAAAAGGACAGTGTAACAGGTAGTCAGAGTTCAAGCAGTCCGCGTGATAATACGTGTAACAACTGGATGTAACAGTCCGAGACGAAGACATTAAGAAAGGTCCCTATCGAGTCTATTCCTCGTCTTCATCAGAAAATATAGGAAACCTCAATACTCAACACCTCAACAATTTCTGGAATAAACAAAATTTGGATTTGCACTTTTCGTTTTCGTCTTGATCGTTGCCAAGTTGAATATTGTTATTGTTGAATATCATTATCATTGTTGTTATTATTGAATATTATTATTGTTCTTGTTATTGTTGTTAGCGATGAATAATATTGCTATTGTTATCGTCGTTGTTATTGTTGAACATTATTATTGTTGTTGTTATTGTCGTCGGTGTTGAATATTATTGTTGTTGCTGATTATTATTGTTGTTGCATTCGTTACTGATGTTGCCATTTTTAAATATTATATGTTGTTTTTGTAGAATATTATTGTTGTTATTATTTTTTAATATTATTGTTATTATTGTTGAATAATATTATTGTTGTTAACGTTGAATATTGTTGTTGTAACTGTTTAATGTCATTATTGTTGTAATATTGCTAAAATTACTATTGTTGTTGTAGCCGTAATTGATGTTGTTATTGTTGAATATTATTATTATTGCTGTTGTTGTTATTGAATATTATTATTGTTATTGCTTTTGTTGTTGTTATTGATCCTTTATCCATGCTGGTCCATGGTGCATTATGGGTAGCAATGTCTGTTGTATTATCCTGACGGATACTAGGAAGGCGATAGCAGTTATCTTTCAAATTATTCTCGATGCATTTGAGTCGAAATAATTCTGCATTCGAACATGGTTATTTTAACAGTTTTATTTTAGTCGAGCCAAAACACAACACATGGCCTGTAGATTGTGCCAAGCATGAAACTGTGTTCACATTATATATATATATATATATATATATATATATATATATATATATATATATATATTGGGAGGCACGGTTGAGTAGTGGATAGCGGCTCGGATTGAGTTCGAATTTCAGTCGAATCTATAACATTCACTTCCGTGCTAATACCCTTGGGAAAGGTATGAATCCTCTTCTTCTCTCCACCCCATGGGTAAATAGGCAGGACAGACAGGGTTCTATAGCCTTGGGTGGCAACTGGTCTAGGAGAAGGACAACTCTGAATTCAAAACCTGCGGAGGGTCATTTGGGGACCTTATGACACGTAGTGCTCCAGGTTTCTGTATTCGGCCCTTCAAAAAGTGTGGTTGGTTCTGCACAAAGCCTTAACCACTATAATCAAATCATGTGCTGGGGTCTGGGCTGTCAGTTTTTAAGAACTGAGTTGCTTGACCCTCATACGTCGATAAACGACGTGTGGAGCCCGGCATATGTATGGGTTCTGGGATTCTCATACCTCGAAATCCACTCAATCATATATATATATATATATATATATATATATATATATATAAATGTGAAAATATATAGAAAATAGGAAAGAACTGGTTAGGTAAATAATCCAAAGTCCTTGGTATTTTAGTTATTATTTTTTAAAAATAGTGCTCGATACAAAAGTAGAGCATAAATATAATTACTTATTTAAAAATATGATTCCAAAACGCGACATAAGAAGTCCCATGTTTCAAAACAAGAGCCAAAAACTTCAATATAATTATTTGAATTAAATTGAGTTAAAGTAAGCTCTGTTTCATCTTCAAGCGAAATTTTTTTGGGGGAATAACGTATTTCTGAAATTTACGTGTTTTAATAATTGAAATTAAAATTTCCATGGTAACAGCTAGGGCGAATTGTTTAAATTGGGTAGGCGTGTGTTGGGTGTTAATAATAAGTATCAGTATAGAGTTACTTTCATAGATGTCAAGTCAGGGAAAGGTGGGGTGTCTAAATTTTAAACAGAAGATGTATTAACCCTTGTCTAGTTTGCGTGTCTATGGAGATTTATTTATTTTATTTTTTTATGAAAGGGATTTGTGCATATAAAAAAAAAAAAAAAACTGCCGTAACGTTTGTTTTTTGACGACTTCATAAAGGGTTATATTTTTTGTAGAGTATTTAAACTATTTATTTGGGCTATGGATTATGAAAGGTGTTATATTGTATGCATGTTTTTAGCTAATTATTCAAACCATGAATCTGATGATTGGGCTATGGATTAAACAAGTTATTATATTGTATGCTTGTTTTTAGCTAATTATTCAAACCATAAATCTGATGATGTCGACAAAAAACCGTTAACTCGTGTCTATTGTTTAATAGATTATTATTATTTAGCAGCTTAATAATGTGCAATAATATATATATATATATAATTGTGTATTTCGGCAGCAATCCCTATTTTATAGATAGTCATTAAAGACGACTGACAAGGTACTGTGATTGGGCTTTTTATTTAATTGTGTTCGTACAAGTGTTTCCTTTACTGGACATAAAGTGTGTACAAATTGTCCAAATATTCTGCATGTTTGAGCGCTTTCGGCTATTCTTTTAGCCATTTTCAAGGGCGATTTTTTCGGAATGCATAAGTTCTTTCATATATGTGTCTAGAGTTTTACACAATAACATCAGCACGCAATAGCGTCAACTATGAACACGGCCACAACGTTCTGACCGTGTTTGGAAAATAAAACGTTCCTATAATTCTGCGCTAATTGTAGTCTGATACGACGCTGTAAAATACCACAAAACGAAAGCAATAACCTGAAAATTAGAATCATATTCTTAAATAGCCTCGTCGGACTTTCACACCGATGTCGTATGTGCCCCCCCCCTAAATACAACCGCTTTCTCCGATCGAAATGGATTCGAGTGAATGAAGCTTCTGGATCTTAGCGAGAAGCATCCTTCTTTAAATCTCGTGGTAAGACGCTACGGAATCACAACAGGCACCATATCACTCGAGGACTTTCAACAGCAGTAACAACTGAAATGGATTGCAAATGTAACTCGAAGAGAAAGTAATAACATAATCAAGATGTTGATATTCCACACCACTTCGAACCAAAGGTTAGTAAGGAAACCTCCTTCAATACTGGAAAGCGTGATAAGAGTTACTGGACTTAAGAAACCTATTTTCCTATTTTAATAGAGCGATTTTATAAATTTTAATATTTTTAAATTTTAAATAGAGCGATTTTATAAATTTTAATAGAGCGATTTTATAAATTTTAACCCCTCAGTAAACATCCATTCGTTCCGAATAAGGTAATGGCTAATATTACCATTATCATTAGAGAAAAGGAGAACAGATACTACACTTTGATTTCAGCCCGCCGACCAGAGAGTGAAGAAAAGCGTAACCCGAGTAACACTGCCTTCTCGGCCAATGAATGCCAAACGTATGCTTATAAGAAACACTATTTTAATAGAGGTTAAATAATATTTTATCACATCGTGCTTACCATATAATGGATGTTCTATGAAAAGGAATAGTCTTTCTGTTTGGATTTCTCCCATTATGAGCATTATTATTTCGATAATATCAAAACAACTTATTTCACAGACGGAACAGAATAGTTCATACAGTATTGTATGAGATATTTTAACGCATGTAGTTTTACTCGTCATTTTAAGGTAGATTTATACAGAAAAGAATGAAGAATCATTTAATTGCTATAAAATATATCCAGAATGATTCCCAATACTGAAATATTTGACAACAGTAGGCCTACTCAGAAGTTGAGGTCGCATTATTCAGGAGCTATATGAAAAAATCCGGATGATGATGATGATGATGATGATGATGAATATTAATATTATCATTAGAGTTGAAAACAGATACTACATTTTGATCCCAGTCCAATGGCCAGGACGTGAAGAGAATCATAAGTCTAGTAGCACTGGCTGCTCGGAAAAAAATGAATTCCAAATACTTTATAAGGATTATTATATTCGTAATAGATAAAACCCGTCATGCCGCTGCCAATACTTAACATTAATTTCCCATGGTGTCTTGGTTGGGACACACGGGCTTCTACTTGGGTCACAACCAATTGTTTCGTTCGGTGGAAATAATTATAAAAGTCACTTTTTTTATTATTAATGATCATTCCGGTAATGGATCGGTAGGTATGCCCAGGCCCTTAATGACAAACAGATGCTGACTTTTTGACAACCAGTCAGATCATGTGGAAACAATTGGTCAAGTTTTGACACTTGACTAAATTCCTGAGGGTGACTTGTAATTGTTGTACGGGTTGTAATAGAACGTCTTACATTTTCTAGCCGTTTATTGTGTTCATGATTTTAGAAGCGGTTTTTTTCACCGTATTGAAGTGTATCAAAAGTAGTCCAGTGTTGGTAAGTCTTCACTACAAAGTTCATTTAATGTAGGCATACAACAAACTTAGATAGATAGATAGATAGATAGATAGATAGATAGATAGATAGATAGATAGATAGATATGCATAGACTGAGATAGATCGATACATACATACATACATGTGCATAGACTTAGATAGATAAATAGATAGATAGACCCATTTAGACTGAAATACATAAATGTGTATAGACTGAGATAGATAGATAGATAGATAGATAGATAGATAGATAGATAGATAGATAGATAGATGCGTATAGATGAGATAAATAGATAGATGATAAACAGACTGACAGATAGATCAATTTAGACTGATAGATAGATAGATAGATAAACAGACTGACAGAAAAAGATAGATAGATAGATTGATATGATAGATAGATAGATAGATGATAGATAGAAGAAGATAGATAGATTGATAGATAGATTTAAAGAATAAGATAGATAGATTGATTGATTTAAATGAGATAGATAGATAGATAGATAGATAGATAGATAGATAGATCTGAAGAAAATGTGTTTGCGTGGAGACAGCGATGTGGCCATTAAACTTGAGGGCGACTGAAATCGAAACACTGATCCGAACAAGCAAGGATCTGTTTGTTGATCAGATTGCCACTTATTCATAAACATCCAGTATTTGGGTCACGTGGCGAGATGGTGGGATCAAGATGGCGTCATGAGAAAGAGATTTGTCAGTGGAGACAAGGCCTCTGAGCCTTTTAAAAAAATCAGCTTTTAAAATCCTCGCTTTTGAATACGAGTCATCAATACTCAAGAATTGGCAAGGACGCATTTAGAAAGATTGTGTCACGCCAGATTTTTAAATAGTCATGACTGATCTGACAAGTATAGAGAAATAATATTAGAAATTTCATATATATTCACAAACATTTTAGTTTTGATTGATGTTTACCATTGCAGGCGAGAAAGACTGTGTTGCGCCAGTTTTTTTTAAATAGGCATGATCGATCTGACAAATAAAGAGAAATAATATTAGCAATCTCATAAATTCACAAGCATTTTACCTTTGATTGATGGTTCTAATTAGAAGCAAGAAAATGTTGCGCCAGATTTTTAAAAAGACAGTGAACTGACAAATAAACAGTAGTAATATTAGAAATCTCATATATATTCACAAACAATTTAGTTTTGATTGATTATTACGTTTGAAGACGAGAAAGAGTGTGTGGCGCCAATGGTCGCAGGGAAGCTGGAATAGATTTCGTAAGAAACAAATATACGAACTTTTGACCTTCACAAGTTTATCAAGAACCGAACACATGTCAACAACGGGTGCACAATTATATATATATATATATATATATATATATATATATATATTATATGTATGTATATCCATTATTCCACCGTGCTATCCATTATATATGCGTATATATATATATATATATATATATATATATATAGGCACGGTGTAGTAATCGATAGCGGCTTGGATTGAGGAATCGGAAAGCGGTGTTCGAATTCTAGTCGAATCCATTACATTCACTTACGTGCTTGAGAAAGGTGTGAATCCTCTTCTTCTCCCTCCAGCTATGGGTAAAATAGCAGGACAGACTGGGTTCTCTAGCCTTGGATGGCAACTGGTCTAGGAGAAGGACAACTCTGAATTCAAAACCTGCGGAGGGTCGTTTGGGGACCTTGTGGCACTTAGTGCACCAGGTCTCTGTATTCGGCCCTTCAAAATGTGTGGATGGTCTTGCACGAAACCTTCACCACTATAATCAAATCTCATGTGCTATAAATGCGGGTTGGGGACCGCTTGTGAATTCCAAATTCCCATGAAGCTTCAATATTGGAGCCGGCTCAAACCTTCTCAGGTGAATGCCGATACAAGAACAAGAAGAGAAGAGAAATAATATATATATATATATATATATATATATATATATATATATATATATATATATATATATATATATATAAATTTAAAGTTTGTCACTTAGCTGATTGGTGTTACCTTCAGCACTCCGACTCTAGAGTTTCGTAGGCTCGAGCAATCACTCCGTCCACTCGTCAGAAGATATTAGCAATATATAATATAAAATTGGACACTGACATAAGCACCGAGTGGAGACAGTCTGTTTCATACTTGAACGCCATCTTCAGGCCATAGATACACAGATTGTTAGCTATATGTCCTCGTCCATGTGTAAAATTTATGTGTGTTTGTGAATCACAATTCGAGTTGGTCTATGGGGGATTCTGTTGATAATGTGTATGCGTGTGTGTCCGTTTGAGCGTTTCAAACATCTGGAGGATGTCTACATGTGAGAGTGAAAGAATTTAGGTTACACCGGTTGTGGTTATAAGTAGAGATTACTCACATTCTTTAAATATGGATATTATATAAGTTGGTGATATAATAAAGTTTTTTCGACGTGTGTTTATATGACAAAATGCACGTGAGGACAGATTGACCTAATGAAAAACAACAAACAAGTAAAAATACCATAATTGCTACTTTTTCTCCAGATCTCATTCTCTGATGAAGCTTTAATAAAAGCGAAACATGTCAGATTAATAAAAGTTTCCTATTTGTTCCTTAACTTATCATTCTGAGCCATAACTGATTTCAACTCATACTAAATTACCTCTATGTAGTCATTCCGGGGTGATCACTTTATTACTTAATGACAATAGGAAACCGATCCCCCACTTTATGTACAGTAGAATCTTATATTTAGACTAAATATCTCATTCTCTGATGAAGCTTTAATAAAAGCGAAACATGTTAGATTGATAAACGTTTCCTTATTTGTTCTTTATCTTATCATTCTGTCGGTTTCCATCCATAATTGATTTATTACTTAAATCCCCACTATATGTAGAATCTTATTATTTTTCTAAATTCTTTAATAAAAAGGGATTGATAAACGATTTGTTCTTTATCTTATTATTTATTCCCATCCATAATTGACAAAATACTATATGTAGTCATTCCCCACTTTATGTACAGTAGAATCTTATATTTAGACTAAATATCTCATTCTTTAATGAAGCTTTAATAAGAGGGAAACATGTCAGATTAATAAGTTTCCATTTGTTCTTTATTTTATCATATATATATATATATATATATATATATATATATATATATATATATATATAAAATATAGTTTTAAGAATTCAATAAAAATATCATAAATATCCTAAAATCTTAATTGCATTACCTTATTGGGCCATCTTGAGAGAAATATGTAATATCATCTTCATATTAAAAAGTCACCAAATAAGACAAACAAACAAACAAAAAAAAAATCATTTTAACAGAAATATTTACCAAAATTCCACAAAAATATCTTCAAATACTAAAAACTAAATTTATTCAATAAAATCGCCAATAGCTTCATCCACGGCTCCAAGACAAACACAGAATCTGTTGTAACGTTTCTGGGCCGTCTCCTTGTTTAAGTTCGTCAGTGCTACCATAACCCTTGTCTTCAGTTCATCTTTGGTGTTACAATGAGTTTTCTTAGTCTCACGCTTAACATATTTCAGGAGAGATAGCTATACTATAAGGTTGTCGAGATTTTTATATATATATATATATATATATATATATATATATATATATATATCGCCCGGATTAAGGAATCGGAGAGCCGAGTTCGAATTCCATTCGAATTCATTACATTCACTTACGTGCTAATACCCTTGGGAAAGGTATGAATCCTATTCTTCTCCTTCCATCTATAGGTAAATAGCAGGACAGACTGGGTTCTATAGCCTTGGATGCCAACTGGTCTAGAAGAAGGAAAAATCTGAATTCAAAACCTGACCAGGGTCTTTGGGGACCTTGTGGCGCATAGCGCACCAGGACTCTGTATTCGGCTTTTCAAAAAGTGTGAATGGTTCTGCACAAAACCTTCACCACTATAATCAAATCAGGTGCTGGGGCCTGGACTGTCGGTTTCTAGGAACTGACCTGTTTGACCCTCATACGTCGAATACGACGGAAGAGTCCACCAGTGAGCGAAATAAAGGATTCAGTTCGACATTCCAACCACCTGAAGAAAGCCGGAGACTACAACGGCTGAAACGCTGTGATAAATATGGCGACAAAGACGAGGACAATAGTCCGAATAATGTAAATAGTGTACATAATACCTTATCACATATATATATATATATATATATATATATATATATATATATATATATATATATATATATATATATATATGTCTCTGTGTGCATGTGGGTGTACCTCCAAAGACGGTTTCAATAAAAGCGAAGTTTAATCATCATCTTTATGTTATTCTTAAGAGGAAAAACCAAATGATATTTCGATTATTAAATTAAATTTTTTTAATCCTTTTTAGAGCCTTCAAAATTTTGGTTAAAAGTTTTTTTTCTCAACGGGTGACCATAAATTAGTATGAATAATGTTTTAGTCGTGATTTGGAAATTCTTGCAAAAATCAGTTGTCTGATTTTAAGGAAACTTTTACGATTTATTCAGAAATTATTTTAGAAATGTTTCTTATTTAAAAAAAAAAATCATGTAAACATCTGTTAAACCCCACTTAATTCTATGAAGTTTCCTGAAATTCTTTTTTGTAGGGATTACAAGACCCTTATTCGTTGTGAGGACAATTCCAAGACCCATATTCGCTGTGAGGACAATACTTCGGAGAATTAAAATCGTGAATTTTTAATTAGGAATGGCATTTGTCCAGGCAGACGCCTGCATTAATTTTGGGATTCGATAAAAAAAAGAATGAAACAATTCAAAACTTCATCCACAAATACCAAAGCAGCAGTCCGAGTCTCACTATTCTTCTTTCAAGCTTGTTAGAATCTTTCAGTAAAAACCAGCAGTTGACCTAGAGAAACCAAAGATAATTATACAATTCAGAGTTTTTCAGAGCATCTAGTACTTTGCCGAAAATAGGCAGAAAGTAAATAAGTTCCAAAAGCCTGGAAATACAGAAAAGAATTTCCAACAAGCAGGAAAGTAAGAATAATTTACTGTAGAGTTTAGAGAGAACAGGAGTCAGTTCAGGGGCACATTTTTTGAGAACTATTTCAGGGATACCATAGAGTTCAGATGCATTGAGAAGGTCCAGTTAAGAGATGATAGGAGAAACGATGGAAGGAGTTATGTGTATATCACTCAATACAGACCCAGTTATAAGTGGAAAGTCAAAGGTACTCCAGATGAATCAAGATTAGGATTTGAAAAGAATTTACGAGCAAAACATTCTGCTTTATCAGTAGAAGATGATAAGACCTAAAACTGAATGAAGAAGGAAGGGATAAAAGACATACTCTTATTTAAAGCACTGTTACAAAGCCGCCAGTAATCACGTTAACCAAACCTGTTAGAGGCTATGTTGGAAATATTAATAAGAAAGATTTTTAGCTTTTAAAATGGACGCATTTCGTTGGAGATGCACACACACACACATACAAACGCATATATACATACATACATACATACATATATATATATATATATATATATATATATATATATATATATATATATATATATATATATATATATATTCGCCATTGCGT